TGACGTGGAAACGAGGCATGAAGAAATGCACAGAGTGATTAGGTAGACTCGGTGTCTCCCGTCTTCCATCACGACGAGACTGCACCTTGGCGTGGTGTAATAGCTTATGCACCCCTCTGACCCAACGGGCCACACTGGATGGCTTTTATCAAGCCGCAGATCTAATCATGCCTGGAAGGTCGAAGGGTAGAGGTCAGACGAAATTCAGTCTCCTCGTCCTCCAGTTTGGGGGTTCGGCTCGAGTTAGCGTTTCAGTCGGTAAAACGGTAGAGTAATTGATCCAAGTAAATGGGCCTCTACTTCGCTTAGCCCTCTGTCTTTCGGTCAGGTTCTTGTTAGAACTAAAGGCTTTGGACGAGAACTCTAATCGTTCTCCTGCTTAGTGGCTGGACAACCTGGCATTACCCGTCCATCAGAGTGAAATGCATACAAAAATAAAAAATATTTCCATATTGCTTCGGTCGTCGCACAGGATAATCAGAACCGCGCTGCCCATTGAATCAGGCGAGGTGTGTTGTGATAAGTGGGTTACTGCTCGGATATCCCAACCTTTGTTTGTCTTACGTTCCCAACCCTCTGCCTCAGACAACTTGTTCGTCGCCAAGTAGCCCGGCAAGTAGTTTACCACAAAATAAAGTGCATATTCTGAAGCCTCGTCAGCCACTGAATCTGGGGGCCTTCAACGTGAGGACTTTGATGCAGATTGGTCAACAAGCGTGTCTGGCGCGTACACTGGACTCTTTGGGGATTGATTTCTGTTGCGTATCGGAGACGCGAATCTAGGATCCTAGTACTATAAACCACTTAAGTGCACCGGGGTTGTCTTCGAGGTTCTTCCTCCACACGTCAGGTGATGACGAAACCCGATCAGTAGGCCAGCGTGGCGTGGACATTGTATTCAATAACAGAACTGAAGCCGCACTACTCGATTGGATCCCCGTCAATATTCGTTTAATGTGCGATGCGGCTTCAAGGGTCTATCAGCTTCCGGAAGGGAAACAACACTAAAAGGTGTCTGTCCATCATTTCAGTGTATGCTCCGACGAACTGCAGTTCTGACGCACGAAAGGGCGAGTTTTGTGATAAACTCACCGAACTCAT